TTGTGATCTCTTTCTGTCAAATAAATGAATAAAATCTTTAAAAAAAACCTGATAAATCTAAGGTGAAATTATGATAAGTGTGTGTTTATTGTTGAATCAGTGTATCTGGTCTTTGTATTAATAAACCATTCCCAAACTTAAAACCAAAAAAAAAAAATAAAAATAAAAATAATAATAATAGTGGTATGATTCTGATGATTATGGTGATGATAATCATCATAGTAAAGAAGAAAACAGAGAAATAAAGTCAGGTTCCAATTTACATAAAGGAAATTATTTTATTTTTAATGTATTTAATTCTTACACTGAAAAATTTATGAACTACCATATATAGAAATTATTTATCCTATCAATCTTAAAATTTTTGAAAACATGGACTATGGATGTTCTGGTACTCAAAAAGAAACTAGAAAACTTCCTTTCAGTCCATCAGCAAATATTTTCTTAGTGTCTGCTCTGTGCCTGGCTTATTTTGAGACATAGCCAGCTCATTTCTTCCAGCTCTAACGTTCTATGGTTCTGTAATGCTAAGTGTCTAAATACAATAGCTACTGCAGCTCAAGGCCAAATCACATTGGTTGTTGTCAGCTTGGCATTTCCTAAGCATCAACTTAGTACCTTAGCTCTTGGATTTGAATGTGAAGATTAGTGAGGCCCTGAAGGCAGAGACACAATTTAGCATCCCAAACCTTATTGCTAGTAAGAGAAATGAAGGAGCTTCATAATCTTTAATAAATTTCCAGAGCTATCATTTCTCTTGAAATTGCTTTCAAGTCCTTTATTTTGCATGGATAGTTCTGGACTCTTCATCCTAACAACCACATTTCATTCAGCACTTGCTATGGGCCAGGTGCTGTAAAAGAAGTACTTTACCTGCTTTATCTGCAGTTCTTGGAACAAACACCCATCTTGTCCCATGGTCACACAGCTTGTAAATGCAAAACTGGATTTAGCACAGAGCTTTTTTAACCTTTATACTATGTTACCAAAACCTAGATCACAAAGAGGGAGTCTGAGAAGAGTGTAGCTTGCCTTTGTTTACCAGACTTATACCCTCTCTGTCAAATTAGACAAATAGACATGTTTTCCTTAAGTGTACCATTCTTACCACTTATTGGATAGTACTGCAGTTAAATTTTTGCTTCCCCATACACCAGCAACCCCCCCACCACAACTCTTTGAGGACAAGGATACTTTGTTTTATTCATCTTTACGTTCTCAATGCCTAACTCATCGGCACTCCATAAATGTTACTGAACTAAATTATTAATGGGCCAAAGGGAAAAATGGTTACAGAAATGGAAAATAAAACATTTTCTCATTTTTTCCCTATGTGCTAGGAAAATTCACAAAGGCAGTTTTCTGATATGCTGAAGCCAGTTTTCACTGTTCGGGCCTGTGTTTAATTGAGCTCAATAAAATAATCAGAAATCTGAGTCTAGGGCTCATTTAGCTGTGCCTATAATCTAATCAGAGATGTATGTAGCCCAAATTTATTAGCATTTGCTTATTATTGGAGTTTTCTCTTTTGCTTGTTATTACTGTCAAAATAGCAGAAGAAAAATTTTTGTTGAAGGCTTATGTTAGAGAGAAAAGATCATTTTAAGATTATTCAGTTTCCCTTTTCAAAGCTACTATGGGAGTCCCCCAGCCTGAAGATTCTCTTCTGATTACTCTCTTTATCATCTCCTTTCTCACAGTTTAGAGCTTGAAGTGAGAACTTTTTTTTAAGTGTGTTTTCCTGGCATCTCATGTTTAACAGTGTCAGGGGTTTATGTCCCTGGAACGAAAACTGTTTCTCCAGAGCCTTTTTTCTCTCAGCTTCCAGTGAAAAGAGGGGCGAGGCGAGCCAGTCGCTTACCACAAAGCAATGCCACCACAAAGGAAAGATTAAGGGTTTAGAGAGAGGTCAATGTGGGTTTTTCTCTAACTAAACACTTTCCTAAAGTTTCCTTGTGGAAAAATAATGAAGTCATCTCAGAGTTTTTAAAGAATTTTTATTTCTTTTTCACCGTCTGCATTCGCTTGTCTTCTCAGCATGGATGTTTAATCTTCCTAGGCTTTGTGAATTGGCCCAAATGAATAAGTAGTGAGCTGTCTCTCTAGGAGCTAGAGGCTTATTCTAAGGGCCTAATCACTGAGTAAACACATCTTTGCCCTCCCTCTCACAACTGCGATATAATAGTCGAGATTCTAGCACAGTAACCTGGATATTGCAGGGACCAATGCTTTGAAATGCAGAATGGTTGATCCTCCAAAACAGACAGTGCCTGATCTTCGCCTACCTCTTTCTTCTTTTTTAAATTAAATATTGCCAAAGAGATGCTGTTTTATTGCTTGATATTGTGCATTAGTGCCCTGGATTTCCAAGTTTAGTTTCAGTCAACACTGTCGGCTGCACTTATAGGGAACTCTGCATGTTGGGTTTCTTAGTAGCCTCTTTCGGCACATGTGTGTTTGGTTTGGAAGAGCATTTAAATTAAATCAGTGAGATAGCAATGTAAATCGCTAATCTCTTTCCCAAAGTCTAAATGTTCCATTGCAGCCGTTCTTGAGAGAAATGGGCGTTTTAAAGATTTAGCCATTGCCATTGTTTGGTTAGAAATATGCTGATTTAAAAGTGGACAGCTCTCTTGTTCCCAGTGTCTCATTAAATGTAGTTGCTGAGATACGATCAAGCAGAATTAGAGGTTGACATCCCTCTGTCTATTCAGCTAGAGAGCTCCTAAGAAGAGGAGCTCTGAATTTGTTAGTGCTGCCAGGTTCACGTTCCTTTTCCTAAAGCAGCAGATTTCTAGATTCTTTTACTGAAAGTGGTTTGGCATGCTGTTGCCATTTGGTATCTTTTTTGCCAGGGGGTTGATAAACAGCATTCAGGTTTCTTTCATCAAACATGCTGAGACCTTTGCTATCTTTAGGGATACAAAGAAGACTGAAAGAGACCTAGTCCTCACCTTTGAGAGACTTTGTCCAGAGGGGAAACTGATAAACAGTGAAGATACTAATTGGGAAGAGATAGAATCCCAGAAAAGGAAGCTCTTAATTCTGCCAGAGGGAATCAGGGATGGTTTCATAGCGGCATTTGCTTTGAGACTTAAAGGGTGAATAGGAATGTACCAGATAATTGTCTCTAAAACTATGTATCTGATTATAAACTTCATAGAAGCCAGCTACTGTTACCTGTAGACATCAACATGGGTGAAGAAACCCTGAGTCTTTCTTGCTCACCATTTTATCACCATTGCTTCCTCCTCGGCCTGACATAGTATTTCAACAAATGCTTGTTGAATGAGTGATTAAATGAATTGACACATGAAAACAGCTACTGTTGGAGTAACTGAGCTACTTAAACTCAGGAATCCTCTACTTACTCCCATTACTTGTTGTCTCTGAGGCCCCAGAAGCATACTAATGTATGAGCAGTGGCCAGTCTGGCATCTTCATATTCTATAAGCGCTCCAAGACTTGACTACAGTATGGCTGATTTTCCTACTACTGCTGTATCAAAGAAAGAGTACTAGGCTTGGCATCAGGAATCCAGGTTCCAATCCCAGATGTACTACTTACTTACTTGTTATGGTAGAACTTAGGACAAGTCTTCTTTCTAAACCTCAGTTTCTTTGTATGCTAATAAAGTTAAGAATACTATTTTACAGACTTTTTCTGGGGATTAAAGTAGATAATGGGTGTGTAACAGTGCCTCCTATTCGTAGTAGATGCTTTTGGGATCTTAATCTACCTATGTACCTCTCTGGCTACCCTCATCTAGTACAGAATTTACCTTTGAAGAAAATATTTGAATGATTAGTTTTTTATTATTATTGTAATTTAGATTATTTATCAGGATAATTCCAATCATCAGACTTCAATATCCTTTCATCACATGAGCTTTGTACTTTTCTATAAATGTCCTACTATTTTTGGAATCCCAGACAGTGAGTTTTTCTTTATTATCATCATATCCTTATTTAATATGAAGGGAAAGACCCTAAGCTTCCTTAAAAGTTTACCTTGCCAGAATTTCACAGATTGGTTTGTATATTGTCTTTATCATAAAATTCTATCTCTCTGTTTCCTGTCAACTTACTGTTCTTAAACTCCTCTCTTCTACAAGGTGGCACCAAGAAGTTTGTCAATAACAATGTAGGCTCTTTAATCATCATTGTCATTGTTGTTGTTAAAGCTGACATGTTGCAAATTGTGTTGCTCAATTTCAGTTTTTAGTCCCGATTATTTTATTGACTCCCAACTATGATGGAGGACACTTTCAAGAGAGCAAATGCCATTTCTTAGAAGCAAGTTTTATCAAGCAAAGGGGAAGGAATAATTCTCCATGTGAGAAATCACAAGGACACTTTCTGAAATATAGACTAGAAAGAATTCATGTGAAGTGAACTATTTTCTACCATCCTTCCATTTGCAGTGAGGTGTTACATACTCTTACATAAGGACTTTAACACGAGAACACATTAATGGCTTTGAAATTACCTGTGGAAGTAAAACACAACTTTATTTCAGACCTTTTCCTTCCAAGTAGAAGAGACTTTCCAGTGCTCAGATTAAAAACAAAAAATACTAAGAGATTTTAGCAATCAGTCTTAATCAGTATTTTTTCTGTGTACAAAGTTGAATAGTTCAAAATTAATTTTCCCTTTGTAAAGTATGTTTTAATATGAAGAATTGTAAATCCATTTTATTTAAAGAAAATGCAATTCTGTTGCATAGTCTGCTTGAGATAGGCTTGCATATGTGAACAGGAATCTGTGACAGTGGTCTATAAAACAGAATATAATCATCGTAGCCTCTTTAGGGTATAAGGAAGCAAAATTTATTCATATCAGTAAATGCTATAGGAACTCCAAGTATCAGGTGCTCTTTTAAAGGGAGTAGCATTTAATTTTTGTCTTTCCTGTTTACATCAACCAATTATACTTTTCCAAAATTCAAGAAATCTTACATTAATGGATATTTTAATTCATCAGTCTTTTTTCCTTTTTCAGAGAAAGCTTCTTGCTATCTACCTCCACCATGATGAAAGTGTATTAACCAACGTGTTCTGCTCACAAATGCTTTGTGCTGAATCTATTGTCTCTTATCTGAGTCAAAATTTTATAACCTGGGCTTGGGATCTGACAAAGGACGCCAACAGAGCAAGGTAATACTGTTGTTCACAAGTTTTAAGTTGGGCTTCTCTTTTTTATAAAAAAGTATTAGTTGTATTTGCTTTCTTATCATCATAAACATTTTCATCCTCAGCATTAAATTCTCAACCATTACATTTAATTATATATAAGCTATTTCTTGTAACTAACATGCAGTTATTTGCAATGGGAAAATATACCTCAATTTGTAAAAGATTTCTAATCCAAGAATAACCCAAAAAAGAAAAACAAAATATACTGTTTTCATCTTTTTGGTACAGTACATTTCTATGTACTGTATATTCTAATGTTCTCATCTGTTGTTGAGTATTTAGAGAAAATATGTTTTTAATAATGTTCAGAAAAGGCAAGGCAAGTCTAGCATATAATCTTAGTAGTAAGTTTATTTTTTAATAATTTCAGTGAAGAAGGCAGGGCATTCTGGACGAGTCCATGGAGTTGGTAATAGCTTAACTCTAGCATATACTAATTGATGTAATCGCTTTATTGCACACATTCTTTTGCACACATCCATATTCTCAATAGGAAAAAAAAGTCCTTTTCCTTGCTGTCAGGATAAATTTACTTAATTTGTTAATCATAGTATCTATAAATGATGAATAATTCTTCATATTTTGCCTATTTGAGTTTCCCATCTGAAGTACATTTCATCATGTTTAATTACACATGTGGCCATAACACCCAGTGATGTTACTTTGGGTGTGTTAACACAATAATAATCACAGGCTGCTGGTTTATGAACAGGGAGATTAAATTAAATCATTTCAAGGCAAGCCTATTGTAGTTACCTAATTTAAATGATCATGGAACAATTAGAAATCATCTGATTTGTTTTTTTATTATTTTATAGCTCACTGAATTTTTACTCATCATTTAGACTTTGTTTTATGTAATCTAAACCTGAAAAGAAAGATGATTCTTCCCTTAAATGTGAAGCAAAAGAATGTTGAAGCAATTTCTTCATCTAATACTTCATTTCTTTAAGCAAATGGTTAGGAAATTTCACAGGATGACTTCGTTCTGCATTGGAAATGTTCCCTGTTATACATAAATAAAGAACCTTTAGCACCTGTATTTGTTTAAATTAAATCAGGTTATTATTCACACTCAGTTAAAGGTGATGAAAAGCAGTGCCAAAAACAGATAAAAATGCAGCATCGAAGGTCTTTCATGAGGCAAAATACATAGACTGGAGACTTGACTAAATCTTTCACCATTCACTGGCAGTAAGGAATCTCCTCCTTTCCTTTTATCCACAACTTGATGGAGAAGGAAACACTATTTCTAAACCATCTGTAGTGGCTAAGTTCAGCAGGCTACCTGCTGTTATTTTGTTCTATCCTCCATTTAATTCCTTAGTTCCTTTTATTTTACAATGACAAAAAATTGCAGTGTAGTTTCTTTTGAAAAACAGTGTTTGAGGGTTTTTTTTTTTTATGACTGGCAATCAACAGCCATGTAATTGCTTTGTTATGTTTTACTAAAGAAGTCTGTTAAGTAGCACAACTTTGATACACTAGTAATAAGAGTTTGCAGGTTACAGAGACACCTGTGGTGACCAAAGCGACAGAAGCTGCTTATTAGAAAGAGCCAGTACAGCTGTGTCCTATTAACTCCTTATGACACTTTTTTTAAAACACAAAATAAAGGCCTTGTTTAAGGCTTTAAAGCTATTTCTCAATGAATTGCAGGACCGACTATAAGGTATGATAGGCTATTTCAATCTACGTTTTAAAAAATATGGTATCCCATTATTATTATCATTACATTCATGAAAATGAGAGAAAGTGGTATTAAAGACTAAAAATAGAAACATGTAGGAATTTGCTTTAACAAATACTTATAGGAACAAGAAACAGGGCCCTTTGGGAGAAAGAAAATGTTACAATTACTGGAATTTAAGATACTTGGCAATCCTTACTCAAAATCAAATTCTACATATTACAAATTAAAATCTATTTTAAGTTAAGGTATTACATTTCTCTCCATAAAGCAAAAGAATTATGTAGATGCTTTTCATGTACAGCTCCTCATTAGTATTGTTAAGGCAAGTGGAAAAGTACACATCCTACACACACAAGGTAAAAATTCATTGGAATGGCATATTCCTAAGAAAATAAAAGTGGATTTCTTTTTGCTATATTAAATTGTAAGAAAATTTTAATTAATTAGTTTGATTTATTGGCCCAAAAAAGGATCAACTTAGCACCACTTTTCTAACCACCCATCATAGATTCATCTAAATGTAGTTATCTAATTGCATTTCTATCTTTGTGATCTTACTTAGATTTTTTTAGCACCACATTTTATCGAAAGGTGTTTGTCATAAAAATTTATTGCTTTATCCATCTTATGCTATTAACAGTGAGTAACAAAATGTCAAACTTACACCTTCAATTCATTAGAAGATTGTTGCACTAATATTTATTGGTCAGTGAGCTACATTTCAAAATTTGCTGTGCCATCATTTGCATATTACCAGAGTTAAAATATGATAGATTACTATGTGAAAATATAGAGGAGATTTCTAGGCATCACAAACGAGATTGTTGCTATGAGTTTCCTTTTAAACTGTGATTTTCTTACGATGAATGTAAAAGTTTAGAAGTAAATTCCTTGTGGATGGCTTGTCTCATCCCATATCTGGCTCTCCCAGTTCAAACTGATCAACACATTTTTTAAAATCGTGAGCTTGTAAACTGGTTAGTCTGGATGACTCCTTAGTGGTTTTCCGGGACTACCCCCTGACATAATAGCTGGGGACATTTGTGCCCAAGATGGGGAGGGTCTTGCCAAGCAAATTTACTTTTCCTTAAGAAATACTCTGCCAAACCAACAGAAACATTAGTCTTCTGTTTACTGTGGGTCTCCCATGTGTAGAAGATAAGTTAAGGATTTTGAACTAAGTGAATGCTTTGGTAAAGTTACAGAATATGAATGTCAGTTGTGGTTATAAGTTAAATTTCCTAATTTCCCTAACAAACTAGAATAAAAAAGAAACAGATGTCTATAGAATGTCACTGTTATACACCTCTCTGATGCTGATGATTTGGATTTCCCTCCTCCAAAATGATTCTAATAGCTTTCTAAGTTAAATACTTAAGTTTACCAACCTATATCTGTATAAAATGGATTAAAATAATTTCTGGATTGCTCTTGGAACATCCCAAATATGAATTGGGACATCATACCGTAGCAGTAATGATTATGTGCCTATCTTCTCCCTCACTAAATTGTGATCTTCTGGAAAGCTTATTCATATTATTTGTCTCATTCAACAAGGCACTTTAAATTTACAAAATTCTAGGAGAAAGAAACTCAGTAAGCATTGCAAATAAATGAATGCATCCAATTCCACCAAAGAATGTGTTTATAATTTCAATATTATATATCTAGATACAGGTTTCTTTCCTGGAAAACTCTGTACAGTCTTGTTGGCTGCCACGTGTACTTGGAATTCAGGTCCATTATTTCTTAAAACAGTAGGCAGTAAGCCCTTGTTAGTCTTAAGAAGTGCTAGAGGATATAATTTCTTAAATATCCATCGGAACAATGATCCTGAAAGAAACAGTAGGATATATTTGTAAATGAAAGAGCTGAAAACAGATAATAGTAAACAAGGAGATCCTGCAAATCACTTCTGAAAGTGACTAAAAGAGTATCTTAAGAAACATATATTTCCTTCATGTTTATTCATTGAGTAAATATTTACTGAATATTTCATGGGAACCAGGATTGGTGCTTTGCACTGAGGGTGAGAAGATGAAAAAGATACAGTGCTTAATGCTCAAAATACTCATAGTCTATTAGGAAGACATAGAGCTAATACATAATATGAAGTATGCACAAGGTGTTTTGGGAATACAGGTGAAATTCGTAGGGAGTTACTCTATCTGAGTGGGCTAAGGAAGGACTTAAATGACCCACAGAAAAATGAAATTAGAGGTTTTGTTCTTTTTATTTAGAGATTTTGATATTAGCAGTATTCCTAGTTTATTGGGTTGCAGATATTTGCTATTTATATAAAAGAATGTTGGTATTTTAAGCCTCATAATTAAATATCAGAAATGAAGGATCAGTGGTTTACATAATTGTAGAGGAGAGGGCCCTGGCCAGCTAGTGTAATCGTATATGGTCTGAACCAGATTGAGGATTAAGGTCAACCAGCAGGGATCGACAGATCCCAAGCAGTTGTTTTGTTAATGATTCATCTCAATATTGGCATATGCTTACAGGCAAACAGTAGAGCAGAAATCAGATACTCTTTTGCATGTAGAAACATGTAGAAAACTATCATGGATTTAATAATAAAAATATATTTAAGGACAATATACTATTAGTGAACAAAAACTTCTGCAATAAAAGAGTAATTTCTTAGATTTCAGGACAGGTGTCACCTCTGGGAAGCCTTGCCACTGTCTATTCTTCTCTTGCCTCTCAGTCTGAATTAAAATGCACATTCTTTATGCTCCCATAATACCCATATACTAACCTGTATTGATGGAATTCATTATACTGTATGGTTATTGCCTGTCTCCCTATTGGATTATCAGCTCCCCGAGAGAGCTAGGTCTATAATCTCAAGGTGTTAGTGCCTTTGAAAAAGTCAGTGTTATATTGAAAAATAAATAATCTCTAATAATCTTACTGAATAATGAGAGAGACCAGCTTGGGTAGTGGAAAGAGCATAGAAATGCTACTGTATGACTCTAATTGTGTGGTCTTCCCCCATCGCCATTAATAGGACTAATAAAGCAAAAGTCTTTTCGTTATAGAATGAACTAACAATGTCCAGACCAGGTACTTTTCTGCTGGCGCTGAAGCACTTTAGAATATTGTGGCCTGTGCTCTGTGCACCAGGCACCCACGTGCCATCTGTAAAGAGACTTAAATTCCAGCCTAGATGAGTTCATCCAGTGGTTCCAGAGTTTCTTTCTCAGACTCACCAAGTTTCTGATAGCCCTAACAAAATTGGCCTCTCAGATTGGGCCAT